TTTTCTTAATATCCATAGATCTCGAGGACGAGATGATAGTTGGAAGGTTTTAACAACTTCGGAGCACTCTTTTCTACTAGATTTTTTAAGTGTACTTTACTTCTATAGTATAAATAGTATAAAGTAACAATATGTCAATGAGAAGTTTTTTATTGTTGGATTGCTAATATATACAAGGAATGAGAGGTAGAAGATACCTTAGCGCTAGTTATCCACCTCATTGGAAAGGTGGGCTTCCTCTCAAGAGAGAGGCAGGCGCCTCTTACATAGAAGCAAGGCCTCAATAATGAGAAAAGTGAACTTCTTAAAGTGAGAAATAGTGTGATGCCTCCTATAGATTAATGGTTTGGTTTGTTATAAATATTTTTCAGGAAGATTTTAAGTGGTATTTCTTTTTAACGAGAGAGTCTCAATTGCTCTTACAGTTCTCTTTCTAAACAATAGTTTAGTTGTGGAATAGGATTCTCTTTCTAAACAATAGTTTAGTTGTGGAATAGGAATGCATAATTGGTGGATAATTTCTGTAAGGTAAGATAGTATAAAAATGTTGTTCGACTCGGTTTTGTCAAGGGTTTGAGAGGAAACTCTATTTTTCAAAATCTAAAATGGAATTCTCATTGGTATAGTAGATTTCAGTTTGTTATATTCTCTCTTGTGAACAATATAAATCTTTGTGTTTTGTGATGTGTATGTTTTATGCGTTATTTCTCATGCTTGGGTTATGGTTTGTACTTGTATACTTTATTTTAACCAATTAAATACACATTCCTCGTAGGATGATATTTGCGGTTCATATTACCAGTAATTAGAATATTCTTGAAACCTATCAACCATGAGGTAATTTGTCCATCTTTATATTTGTATTTCCCTTCATTTTTTAAGGAAAAATATAGAATGAGATCATTTACCTTTGGTACAAGATACATTAATCTTGACCATTAGATGTGAAATTGGGTGGCTGCAATTATTCTATTGACCAAGCTCAAACTTCAAAAGAAATTTTTTCGAATTTTGTGACGTATGGATACGATCAAACTTCACTTCAGATGGTTGTAAGTAATTGTGACCATCTTGTATAAAAAATAAATGCTCACATTATATACAATCCCATTTTCTAAATACGTGTAAAGTATATGGGTTCCTTTGCTCAAATTGAACCCTAAGCCATGTTTTGAAATAAAGTGTGCTTTCTATAAGGTTGCAACCTTAATAACACCTCCAAACTTTATCATTGCACGTAATTTTAGTGTAAAAAGTTCCTAAGATTAACACATTCCCTTTCAAAATAACATTACCCGAGTTTCTTCTTTTTCATTAATTAAAAATTTCTAATTCCCTGGATTAAAGCAGTTGATAGGAACCGTCAAGTGGTTTAGAGGCCTCGGTCAACGTTGCGAAAATGGACAGCTGCGCCCATACCTGTATTTCCTTTGTCTATAATATTTTTCATTTAATTTTATAGGTGTAAACAATCAAAGCAAAGCACACCTTCAAATAGTATCGAAAAATGTGGTTTCAATACAAAAAATATTTGTAATAGTGTTAAAATATATTTTTATTTTTAATTATAAAATCCAAAACTTCAAAAATAGTATATATCGAGCAGATCTAAGGAAATTGAAAATCATGAAAAAATGTAAGAGAAGCTTAAGGTACCATCTCAAAATCAGTTTGGTCCTGAACAATTCCCTTCTGGATCAACAATCCATATAAAAAATCACAAAATTTCAATGCGATAATGAAAGGAGTACAATTTAGGCTAGAGACCTGAATAAAAGAGTCGAAGAAAAAAGGAATATAAATTGAAAAATGAAAAGAAAGAAAAAATAAAATAAAAGAATTATTGCGGCAAAGATAAATGCATTTGATTTTCACAGCAAAGATTGGCAAAGGTAAAATAAAGTGTATTCCAGAAGTCCATAGTAACAAAATCAAGTAGAATTTATTATCATACCATCGATGAGCTGGACGGCGATGGGGAGTGGAACATATTGCAAGCATCTAGGGTTTCTCCATCACCGTTCAATGCATTTGATTGGACGGTGATAAGACAAGGTCATATTCTTATCTTAGCCACATGGATCCCTGCCGGCAATGACGGAGGTGATAGCAACCGCCTCACCTTTAACTTACACGTTGCATAAAAAACAAGGAATAGATGGTTCGGTCGGGGCCGGGGCGGGTCGGAATGACTCAGCCAGAAACAAATGTGAAGAAAACAAGAAAAAGAATGGAACCGAATCGGGCTGGCACTCACCCCAGTCACCCTAGACTAGCGCTCAAGCCACAGTAGTAACTTTTTGGGGGCGGGCTGACCAGGCCGGGCTTCTTGTGCCATTATCAGTCCTCATTAGAAAGGAAGACTAAAAATGAAAAAACAAAAAGGGTGAGATAGAAAGCAGATTCCGAGAGGGAGAGAGTCCAAAATAATCCCCACTGGATCCCAACGTGACTTCTTGTTGCTGGGGTGGTCCCTCGCATCCCCACCAACCACAATCATTCTTACTTTCATCCATCAACCACACATTCATATAGAAACAAAGCACCACATGAAAAGGAAAATTAAATTAATGACTACTCAGAGGAGCATCACATGCAAATACAATACCCTCCAAACACAAAGATTACGAAGTATTCCTTGTTCATACAATTTATAAAAGTTAAAATTAATGGTGGATTCTTTTCCTCATCGTTTTGCCTTTTTCAATGTCAACTAATGGGATTTGGCAGAATCTTCTCCCAAAAGATCACCTGCTTTAGTAAAGGAGAGTGCTTTCCCGAAAGGTAAAAAGGAAGAGAGAGAGAGAGAGATTAATTTCAAGTTTGATTAAAACAGCAGCCAGCTTTCCTCAAAAACCAATAAAAATGGGTTCTTATCGGCTAATGATCCGCTAAACTATCTTATTAAAAGCTCTGACGTTCAAAATCATCCATTGTAGCTTCACCTTGCACCGAACATTGCCTTTTTATCTCCCCCACTGAATCATTTTCCTTCGTTGAAACCAATTCCGCAGTTTTCCTTTTTTATGATTCTTCAATTTACTTGCTCGATAAGGCAAGCGACAGGAAATTAAAACCATGTCTTTTTGGTCCCACCCAAGTACTTGAGAGCAGCGTTTTAACTTTCAAGGCTCACATTAGTCTGGTGGACCGATCACCTGTGGCAGTGTCGGATTGATGGATAAGTGACTAAGATAAGTTTGGATTGAACCAAATTGATAATTCAGAAAATATTAAAAAATAGATAAAAAAATTAGATTGGGGTTTATGTGATGGAGATTTAAGGGACGTAAATATCCGTTAGATAATATTTTATATATATATATATATATATAGGAAAGAGGGGTTTTTAGGGAGAAATGGGCTAGGACTAATATCATCCTCGAACTAATTCGGCCCCAAGGGACTCCCCATCTAGATCAGCTCTCCGAATTGGGAATCACAATAATTTAAAAAACTCCTTGAGAGTGTTAAATACACGGGCATGTTTGTTTCGTATGAAAACGTGAAAGAATTCCCTCATGTGGTTTAAGTGTACGAATATTTTCATACTAATTAGTCCCTGTGTATTTTTTCACGCCAATTGACAACTAAATTGGTGTGAAAATATATTCACATCTAGCTACATGAGAAAAAAATTTCACGTAAAAATATTTTTCAAGAATTTTTTCACATAAAAATATGTTTTAAAAAATATTTACAAACTAAACGTACTTAAGGGATTATATGCTAGGACACCATTTATATTTAATACAAAAAATTTACAATCATATCTAAGTACTAGACGTGAAATTGAAGGGTGCATCCACAAAGTTTGAGTCGGGTAATTGTACATCTAATGGTCAAAAGAGTTGCTATCATCTTTCTTGTACTATAAAGATGACCGTATAAACCTCATCCTTTTCTAAATGTAATTTTCAACAGTATGCTACATAGTATAAACTTTTGAGAAGGGAACATGTCATCGGATATTGCTAAAAGGCTAAATGTAATTTTCTAAATGTAATTTTCAACAGTCGGGCACATGTCATCGGATATTGCTAAAAGGCTAAAAGCTGCCATTTTAATCAATATTTTGATCGATTCACCACACAAAAGTCCACACACATTCGTGTATATTCCGCCCTTTCTTTTTTGTGTGCGCAAGCCACGTTAGCTGGATTCTACATTCAATTATTGTAGGAAAGTGGGGCACTCACATCATTGTTTTCTTTATAAGAAAAATAGATAAGAAAAATAGAAACTTAGGGATACAAGGAAACAAATAGGTGTTGAATAAAAACTTAAAATCCACAATTGAGGTGCTTAGTGGCCCTTTTGTGACACATGATACCACCCCATTTTTCCATTTGTTTTAAGTGAACAATCTCATGTTTAAGAGAAATTTTGTTGTTTACTGGATCTGCCTCTAGTTTATTAGTAAAGAGATTATTTATTTTTAGTATAAGGCAGTCACACGTCTGATTTTGTAAGTGTGTCATTCACTAAACTCAAGTTCAAAAAAAAATTTCTCAAATTCTTCCATTATGCACACTAAATCATCCAATTTAACATCCAATGACTGAGAGTGATTGTTTTTTTCTTATAACAATAGCAAATGGTCTCATAAGATACAATCCCAAATCTTTTTTCTTTTAATATTTTCATATGGTTTCCTTTTCCCCTCCCTAAAATACCGATTTTCATCGGAATCCAAATAACCTACATAAATAACTTTTATTTCTCTATACGAATAAATCTATGAGAAAGTATACAATGAGATCATTTATTTTTGATACAAGATGGTCACAATTAGTTATAACTTACAACCATCCGATGTGAAGTTTGACAGCTGGATGTGTAACAAAGTTCGAAAAAAAAAAAATTGAAGTATGAAGTTGATTAATAGAAGAATTGTAGGGACCCAATTTCAGATCTAATGGTAAAAATTAATATATTGATCTCATTCAATACTTTTCCTGAACTTATAAAGTAGCCACTTAACCTAGATGTGAGAGGAATTTTTATAGGTGTGGACCGCTCCGTGCTAGCTTTACCCAAGAGAAAAAGAAAAACCAAGCAAAAAGATGAAGAAGAGGCCATTATTGTCAAATTGTGAAATAAGGCAAAACAGGAAAACAAAAGAAAAGCAAGCTTCGATTAATGTCAAGTGATCCTGGCAAAACCCCAAAGCCCACTTCTCAGTTCCATGTCACCATATTCTCAAAAACCCCAATTCTAACACTTGGCCTCCTTTCAAAGAGCCAAGCAACTCTGGTGGCCTTCCTGTTGAGAGAGGGGCCAGCAATTGAGCTCAAAGGCCAATTTTGGGTGGTTTAGAGAGAGAGAGAGAGAGAGAGGGAGGTCACCATGAAGCTGGTGGTGGAGGTGCTGGACTCCAGCAACCTTATGCCAAAAGACGGGCATGGCTCGGCGAGCCCCTTCGTGGAGGTCGACTTCGAGAATCAGAGACAGAGGACTCAAACCAAGCAGAAAGATCTTAACCCCTCATGGAACGAGCACCTCGAATTCCAGGTCGGAGACCCCAACGCGCTGCCGGACCGAACCATCGACGTGACCGTCTACAACGACCGGAAGGCCTCCTCTTCCGAGCGCCACCACAACAACTTCCTCGGCCGCGTGCGCATATCGGGAGCCTCTGTCGTCCCGGAGAGCGAAGCCCGCCTCAACCGCTTCCCTCTCGACAAGCGAGGCCTGTTCTCGCACATTCGTGGCGATATCGCCCTCAAAATCTACCACACTTTTGATTTCCCGACGCAGAAACCTCCCAATGCCGAAATCCCCATGGGCTCTGTGCCAATGCAGGAGGAGACGGTGAAAAAGAAGAGCAAGAAAGAGAAGGAAGGGAGCAGGGTGTTTCAAAAACCAGCGGCGAGCGACCCACCTGGTTTCGGATTTGGGCTTGGGTTTTTCGGGTTCAAGCCAATGGAGGAGAAGAAGGCGGAGGCACCACTGCCGCAAGCAAAACTGATGCAACTGGCGATGCCTGGTGGTGGGGGGCCAAGTTTTGAGGTGAGGGAGACGGCCCCAAAGATAGAGGCCTTGCTGAAACGAGGCAAGTCGACGAGCGCATACGATCTGGTGGAGCAGATGCAGTATCTCTATGTTCATGTCGCCAAAGCACGAGACCTTCCGGCCATGGACGTGAGCGGGAGCTGCGACCCCTATGTGGAGGTGAAGCTGGGGAACTACAAGGGCCAGACCAAGCATTTCGAGAAGAATTTGAACCCTGTGTGGAACCAGGTTTTTGCCTTCTCGAAGGAGAGGTTTCAGGCGAGCGTGGTGGAGGTGGTGCTGAAGGACAAGGATGTGGTGAAGGATGATTTTGTGGGGAGGGTTCTGTTCGAGGTCGGGGAGGTGCCGACGCGTGTGCCGCCTGATAGCCCCATGGCACCACAGTGGTACAAGCTTCAGGAGAAGAGTGGGGAGAGGAAGACTAAGGGTGAGATTATGCTGGCTGTTTGGATGGGCACCCAGGCGGACGAGGCGTTTCCGAACGCCTGGCACTCGGACGCGGCGGTCTTGGCAACGCACGAGGGGCTCATGAACACCAGGTCGAGGGTTTATGTCGCACCCAAGCTCTGGTACCTGAGAGTCAGCGTCCTCGAGGCCCAGGACTTGGTGGCGTCGGAGAAGGGGCGGGTGCCGGAGGCCACAGTTAGGGTTCAGCTTGGGAACCAGGAGCAGAGGACGAGGCCTGTGGGGAGGACGATCAACCCGGCCTTCCAGGAAGATATGTTGTTCATCGCCGCTCAGCCCTACGAGGACCGGTTAATGATCATGGTCGAAGACAGGATCGGACCCGGCAAGGCCGAGCTAATTGGTAAGATTGCCATTCCCCTCACTGGCACGCCGAGCAGGATTGATGTCGTCTCCACTCCGTCGCGGTGGTTCAGCCTGGAGAAGCCGACTTCTGTGACTGAGACCGAGGCGGAGAAGAAGAAGGAGGTGAAATTCGCGAGCAGGATTCACCTCAGGCTGTGCCTCGAGGGCGGGTACCATGTCCTCGACGAGTCGACGCACTACAGCAGCGACCTGAGGGCGACACAGCACCGGCTTCTGGCAAAGTATCCGGCCATCGGAGTTCTCGAGATCGGCATCATCAGTGCGAACGGTCTTGTGCCCATGAAGAACAGAGGCGGGCACCAGACCACCGACGCCTACTGCGTGGCCAAGTACGGGCCGAAGTGGGTGCGCACCCGAACCATTGTCGACTCCCTTCAGCCGCGATGGAATGAGCAGTACACATGGGAGGTGTATGACCCCTGCACCGTCGTCACCATCGGGGTTTTCGACAATGGACACCTCGACGGTGGCAGCGACAACAGAGACAGGAGTATCGGCAAGGTCCGGATCCGGCTGTCAACCCTCGACACCGAACGCGTCTACGCTCGTGCCTACCCTCTGATAGCTCTCCAGCCGTCCGGCGTGAAGCCGATGGGCGAGCTCCACCTCGCAGTGCGTTTCACCTGCACCTCCTTCGTCAACATGATGCATCTCTACTCGCAGCCCCTCCTCCCGAAGATGCACTACCTCCTCCCCCTCACAGTAGGCCAACTCGAAAACCTCCGCTTCCAGGCCATGCAAATTGTGGCGTCGAGGCTCGACCGCATGGAGCCCCCCTTGCGCAAGGAGGTTGTCGAGTACATGCTCGACTCCCGCTCCCACATGTGGAGCCTCCGCCGCGCTAAGGCTAACTTTCAGAGGGTGGTGTCGGTCCTCTCGGGGATCGCGGGCATCAGCCGGTGGTTCGAAGATGTCTGCAATTGGCGAAACCCCGTCACCACCATCCTCTTCCATGTGGTCTTCCTCATCCTCGTCTGGCACCCCGAGCTCATACTACCCACCCTCTTCCTCTACATGTTCTTAGTTGGCATATGGAACTACAGGTTCCGGCCGAGGCACCCGCCGCACATGGACGTCAGGCTGTCGCACGCCGACCGCTCTCACCCTGACGAGCTCGACGAGGAGATGGACACATTCCCGACGAGCAAGGCGACCGACATAGTGAGGATGAGGTACGACCGGCTGAGGAGCGTCGCTGGAAGGGTGCAGACAGTGGCGGGGGACCTCGCAACGCAGGGCGAGCGTGCCAATGCGTTGCTCAGCTGGAGGGACCCGAGGGCGACGGCCATATTCGTCATGTTTTGCTTGTTCACCGTGGTGTTTGTGTATGCGACACCGTTTCAGGTGGTGGCGGTGCTGGTGGGGCTCTACCTTCTGCGCCACCCCCGGTTCAGGACCAAGCTGCCCTCCGCCCCCCTCAACTTCTATCGCCGGCTACCAGCCCAGTCGGACCGCCTCATCTAGTCCTCCTTTTTTTCTTTTTTTCCGGCCAACTCCTTGACCGAATCTTTGGTCACTATTATTTTTCTCGTCTTATTGGGCTCAGATCTTCAATGTTGTAATGATACATAGTAATAAGAATAATTAGTCTAAGTGGTGTGTATAAAATGATACACCGACTTTTTCTGATCCGTGGGGGAAAAAAGGGGCCTACTTTATGTGTCTTGGAGAATTAGAGATGGATTGGGAGAATTAGAGATGGAATGTGACTAGGATGTAAATTTTGATCGGATTTTGAGCTTTTGGTATTTCAATAAAGTTTCCTTTCTTGATTTCATCGGTTTCCTTTGTGCTATGATTTCTGTAGTGACTTTCTTGGAAAGAGAGGGGATATATAATTATGGAGAAGAGCGAGAGGATGTGTCAGTTTTGGGAAGCATTCATTAGCATTTCACGGTATAACTGGCAAGGAAGAACCGCACAAATATTTTAGGATGAGTCGATTGAAGTGATTGTTTTTGGGTATTTCAGGGGGAATACAGTTCCTAACCAATTTTTTTGAGAGTTTTTTTTTTTTTAATAGCGTGATACTATTTACTTTTGATATAAGATGGTCACAATTATTTACAATCATCCGATGTGAAGTTTGATAGCTTGGATGTGTCACCAAATTTGAAAAAATTTTTTTTGAAGTTTGAACTTGGTCAATGAAATAATTACAGCCACTCTATTTTACATCCAATGGTCAAGATTAATGTCCCACTTTGTACCAAAGGTAAATAGTCTCACTTTATATTATTTTTTTTTATTTTTTTTATTTTTTTTCATAACGGGTTAATAGAGTGGTGTCTGTAAGAATAGAAACCAATAACTAAAATACAGGGGTACTAACACCACGACCTCACCCTCGTTTTTCACACTTTAATGGGTATCACCGGTATTTTGAAATTGGGAATCGGTTGGATCTGCCCTCTGATAAACGGATGGGGATTTGTGGTTTTTTGCGGCTCAGAAAAATTTGCATATGAATTACTCAGTATCACAGACCTTAAGTATCGATTTTATGGAAACCTAAGCAGATGGATTCCTAGATCCATAAAAGAATTTCATTAGTACCTATCTAACCCGAACTCGATTTGGACTCGCAATTTTTAGGCCATAAGTATCAATCACACTTGTTGCACGAAAATCTCCTTGAGATGATGGCGTCGAAATATAGTTTGCCGAATTGCATTTTGAGCACATTTATTAGGATCAGACCGCCAACCAAACTGGGGAGGGATCCAAAGGACCAGATTTGGAAAAGAGATACAATAGGAATAAGATTATCAGTTCATAAATATGAGATATATTAGAGAAAATTTATTTACTTTGTTTAACTCGCCAAACAGGTCAAAACTTGGCACTGTATGCCGATTTTTATTGATTTTTACTTGAATTAGAACTTGCTTGGACCAGAACAACCAACATGGATTATCTGACCGGCCTATTAGACAGAGTGCTTGTCAGAACTTGATAGCTATGCTTTCCCCGTCTCTCTCTCATTTTTATACTGGTCCAACAAGCGGTTGTTCATACATCAAAATCTCATTGAATTTTAACATTAATATCAACCGAAGGCAAAAATTCTCATTTTCAGAAATCATATCCTACCTCCGACAAACGATATCGACCTCTCCCAAACTTTTTACTGCTCCCTTTTCCAAAACTGACCCTCACCTCACCTAACCTAACCTAACCCCCCTCTCTCTCTCCTTATCATGAAAAACAAATCATCATCATCTTAGTTTTTTTTTCAATTAATTGAAATCGGCCAGTTGAAAAACAAATACATTCATAAAATCTTACAAGGAGGACCGCTTGGCTTACCTACTCCCTGACCCCGATTTCCTCCAACTGCCAATCCGATGGTCCAGTCCATATTCGACTCCTTCAATGCGAGGGTTGCACCCTAACAGCTGTGCAGAAGGGCCAAATTCGACTCCTTCAATGCGGAGCTGCACCCTAACACATACGGACAAAGGACAGATGGGTGGAACCCCACTCGCTAGTATTGCCAGCGACTCTCCACTGTAAAAATGCAGCTTTTGTATATAACCAAACCAACCCTAACTAACAAAATGTTACAAGCATGCCAATCACAACCGCCCCTCCGATTTAATACGCACAACTAACACTAACTGCCCCACCCCCAAATCTATATATATATATATATATAAAAAAGTTTATAAGAGGTTGCAACCTTAAAATATAGAATCACATATGCACCTCAAAAATCTATCGAAAATGTTGTTTTAATGTTGAAAAAACCCTCTAATCAATCATCTTGACATCAAGATGTATGAATATGAAAAAAAAAAAGTTTTTGAGTCCCACGAATAGTGCATCTTGTAACACATTATCTAAACCATCTATTTTCAAGATTTTCATATATGTATAGATCTACTTGATTTTAATCATTTTTTAAATTTAAAATTTTCTAATTAGGTATAAAAATAGATTTTAAAATAATACTAATTTTTTACAACAAAATTATATTTTATGATAAAAATTTAAGGTGCGCCTTAAATGGATTGTTTAAGGTTGCAACCTTATAGAAACCGCACCATATATATATATATATATATATATATATATTGTTTGTGTGTGTGTGTGGTGTAGTAGTATA